ATTATATATGTGATTCACTGTTGTAAGTTTGGCCAGGTTCTGAGCCATATTGATAATGTTGGAAAGTAAAACGTGTCTTAGACATTACTGTCATGAAACTGTATAATGATGTAATTGATTATCTTGGTTAACCATCTATTGAATGCTATTGCTTTATTCAATGCTTATATTTGGTTTAGTATATTTCTACTGGGCTATGGCTCACCCTATATGGGAACATCATTTTCAGGTTCAGGTGATAAACTACCTCCAAGGACTTAGCTTGGAAGGGCTTGGATTTTGAAGACTATTTTCAGTTGTTTGCTTTTATTTGTTAGTACATGTAAACATTCAAGCCTAGGGCTTTATTTGTATTTGAATTAGAACTCATATTTTTGTGTCCAAGTGTTGGCTTGGAAAGATGTAAGCCCATAGGGCATTTAATTTGATATTACGTGTAATGTTTTCATTTAGTAATACTCTGATGAATGAGATAATGAATTGTTTTCTTTTAATATTACATGTTAATGATATATATATAATGGGTTTATTTTGAGGGCGTTACAGGGCAGCGCCCCTTGGCAGATCCGAGGGCAGCGCCCTGACGGGGTCAAGGGACAGCGCCCCCGAAGCAAAAATATAAAATGCATTCGAAGTTGCATGTCCACTCGAGCGGCCGTTTATGCGCTCGAGCAGAGAATGTTTGGTTTCAGAAGTTTGACCTGTCTACAAAAGTACTGGGTTAGTGTATTTGACGCTCGAACGGGGCTTTCCACGCTCGAGTGGACCATGTTATATTAGTTTGTGAATCTGATATTTCATATCACTTTTTTAGTCCTCTCTCTCTCTAAAACTCTACAAAATTCCAGATCGGGAGCTTCACTCTCTAGAAGTCATCTTTTCTCTTTGATTTCTCCAAATCTATTGGGATTTAGACCTAAGTTATAGCGATCCCGGATTTACCCTTGTTGTATAGTGATCCGGACATGTGTCCGTGGAGGTTGGTAGTTGTTTATTATCTTGTTTACATCCTTTCTTACGTTGTATTTGAGTTATAGGATGTGTTGAGCGGGTTTGTTACAGGGATGGGTTTATTGTTATTATTTTGAGGGCGTTACATAAGTTCTTCCCCAAAGTTGGTTATCATCTCGAGAGCTTCGTTGTGCGCGGTGAAGATCGAGTTTCGACACCGTTGATTTTTGGGGTTTTATCTCATTTCTTCTTCAAAACTTGAGGTGGGGATTTTCTTAGAGTCATATATATGTTTTTGCAAGATTTATATGATTTTCGAAATCATCTTTCGATAGCTTTGAAAATTGATTGTTGATTCAAGAAGTTGAGCGATTTTGAAAGTGGGTTTGTCTCTTGTTCTTTTAAAATGATCTTATGGTTTTTGATCTTCGTTGATTGAAGAAAAGATAATTTTGGAAAGTTTTCTTTCAAAAGATTTGAGTTGTATAGTTTTGGTGAGAAAACTTAGAATTTGGAGATTTTTTTTAAGAGACTGAAAATCCATGAATGATATTGTTATATTTATTTTGTGTATCAAAATAAATGGATATTTGGAAAATTTCTTATTTATATTTATATAAATGATAAATTTCAGGGAATATGAGAATTATTGTTCATTTTGGAAATTATTGTTTAAAACGTTGAAATAGTTATGAAATGACTAATTGTTGAGGATACTCGAAAAGAGGGAATTGTGTTATTGGCATATCAATTCATTTGATTACATTAAACTTTGAAAGTTGATTTGAAAACTTGCATTGAGAAAAGAATGTTGAGAAACAAGTTTTCATAGAATGGTTTTGAGACAAATACGTTGGTAAGTCTGGATAGGTGGCGTAGATGATATTGAATAAGTTGGCCTGAAAGTCCGAGGTGAAAGACCGAAAACCCGCGCGGATAGGTGTCGAGCCTTCCGATTAATACCGTTAAAAATGATAAATTGGTAGCATTTGTATAGTCTACTTGCAGACACCGACCTAGGGATTACCAGAGTCGTATTTACCGCTCTTGAAATGAATTGTTAAGTTTTGAAAAATTGAAATTGCATGACATCATTGAGCATGATGGTTTTCAAAGATGAAGAAGTGATTTTCTGGCAAAAGAGCATAGCATGGCTGTGCATTTCAT